TCCTCTTCTTTTTCTTTTTTTTCTTTTACTTTTTCTGGGTTTTTTAGATCTTTCATTCTAGATCTCTTTTTCTCCATCATCATCAATAAAACTCTAGATCTTTTCTTCTTCATGGATCTCTCTTCGCGCTTCTTTATAGATCGGATCTCTCTTCATGTTTCTTCTCCATGGATTTCTGAGATTTAAAAATCATGGATCTCTCTTCAAGCTTCTTCTCCATGAATTTCTCTTCGTGCTTTCGTCATTTGTAGTGCACAATCGTTTGGTGAGAAAAGACGGTCCACAAACTTCGACGAGGAAGGGTGATGGTGATAATCGGCGACAACGATAGTGAACAAAGCAAGAAGAGACAAATTATTGAGTTTGACGGCGCTAGAGTTTAGAATAAGGGTTTAGAATTACAAATTGCTTTGTTTCAGTAGAACCATTTGTACCAGTTGTCCATAACTATTTGTACCAGTTGTACCGATTTATAGTTATATCATTTGTACCAATTATACTATTATCTTTCATTTGTACCAATTCTCCTATTATCTCTCAGTTATACTATCTGTACCAGTTGTACTATTAACTCTTAGTTGTACTATCATCTTTTAGTTGTACCAATCGTCTGATATTTCATTAAAGGTAATTTGGAAATATCACATTTACAGTGGCATTCAGATCATAAAATGGCATACCGGATTCATTTTCTCCATTAAGTGGCATACTAGCCTCGGACTCCTCGAATTTTATGTTTGATTGATTGGTTATCACATCCTTTTTTTTTTTCTTTATCTATTCATGAAATTAATATTAGGGTCTTTTAGGTTAAAAATCCACGTAGGTCTTTATTATATAAGCAATGCTCGACTTCTGTTTTTATTAAAATTAAAAACTTTGGGATTCATATAGGCAACTTGTATGTAAAGCTTAATAAAAAAATTTCATCAAAAATAGTAATAATAAAGCTTAATAAAACGAAAACTTTATATACTTTACCTTTCATATTAGATTGGACCGAATATTAGATTATTGTCCCATTCCTAAAGATGATAAATTTATAGAACATTTTTCTTAGAAGATGTTTTATATTAAACTTAGATGATTTTTCTATACCAAACTTGAATTTTCTTACCTTTTGATCCAAAAATCATTAATCAGAACAAAATATCAAATAATCATACGATAGAACATAAACAAACAAACAACGAGAAATTATGAGAGAATAAGAAAATATTTATTGAGTAAAACAACCAATACTTTTATGTAAGTATATGACAACTTAAAATGAAATTGAATATAGAAAACATAAACGTTGTTTTATTAGCACATACATTTTACAAATATTTTAATCGAATTTGAAGTCTCTTCATAAATGCGAACTAAATTTTACACTAACTTTCTTAAGATATATCTTGTAATATTTGTTCTAAGAGATTTGCCATATATAAACACACACTCAAAATTTATGAATTAGATCCTTTAATAGAACAAAAAATTTACCTTAGCTAGATGATATAACTACCAAAAAGATTTCACACAAAGTCATATTAAAAAAATATTTCATAACGACATACTTTTTATATGCGTCGTTGACATGGTTTGATAGTTTTATCATTTGAGTTAAATTTTTTGTTCTATTAAATGATCTGATTTATAAAAAAGATTTATGTGTTTATATCCGCCGATTCTCTTATAACAAACTTTCCGAAACATATCGTAAGAAAGTTTGTTTGAAATTTTTTTTGCATCAATGAAGAGACTTAAAATTCAACTAAAATATTTTCAAAAGGTTTGTGTTAATAAATCAATATGTACATTTTTTACATTCAATCTTATTTTAAGATTTCAAATATTTTTTTTTAAAATTGGTTGTGTTTACTAATGAATGTTCTCTTATTATCCCAAGATATATGTAGAAGGAGTTAGTAAACACAATATAATCTTACATCGTTTATTTAATGATAACAAAAAATTATCATCACTCATGTTAACTAATTCTAAAAGTTCTGCTTCAAATGATTGAATTGATAATAGAGAAGGATGTAATACTTCCATCAGTTATAACAAATTATGTTGACTCATGAAGAGTTAAGAGACATGAAGTAATATCGGAAGAAATCAATGGATAAGAGGTTTTCATTCTTTTTCACTAATATGAATCTTGTTGATGCTTTTTAAAGAAAGTCGTACCAACACTTTAAATGTCATTCCGAAATATTTATTTATGCAAACAAATAACACATAACGAATGAAATGAAAAGCTCCAGATAATTAGTTATGTGTTGTATGTTTGCATATATAAATATTGCAGAAATGGCATTTGAAATGTTGGTGCGACTTCCATTGAAAAGCATCGCAAGATTATGATAAGTGAGAAAATAATAGAAACTTCTGATCGATTCCGATTTCTTCCAATATTAATTCATCTCTCATCTCTTCCCAATCTAATCTTTTGTATCCGATATCTGACTTTTACCCGTGAATAATAAAATTATGATGCCTTTTACCCAAACCATAACTACAAGTCGTGTAATGGATTGATGACGAGTAGCGGGTACTAATACCTAACCCTAGTAAATATGTATAATATAGGTTATGAAGATACTTTACCCTTCTTAGTTTTCTTAATGAATGATATTTAATGTTTTTTTTATTGGAAAGCGATATTGTAAAAAACCAAGTTTTAAATCACATCCATATTACTTCTCGGGGCAGCAAATCTCCTACTTAGAATAATAATAAAGTAAAACCTATATAAAACTAAAGCAAGTTTGTTATCATTAGTCACCAAACCCTTGAGGGGCCTAATAACTTAAGTAATTAGAGGACGGAAAACCTGGTATTGAAAATAATCACATCTGTTAATTTTGAGTTCTTAGCAGTTTTTTCGTTATATGGTTAGTTGAGTTTTTTCTTCTTTTTGGAGGATGATCCAAATATTAAGATTTTCAGAATTATAGACATGATATTTATTTTTCATAGAGAATGGAATCAAACAAAAAGAGTTCGAGATAGTTTAAATTATGTGATAATTATACAATTGACATAGGGCTCAATATGTTGAACCCCAATTTTAAGATATGTTTGCGCCGACATATTATCAGAGTATTTTTTTTAGTAAAATATTTTATCAGAATTCTTGAATTATGAAATCGCTTTGCCACGAGCACTATAATTTAATGTACTCATTAGTCAAAATTTGAGTTTGTTTGGATGAGAAATACTTGTTCATAGTTTCTTGCTTGAAAGTGACACGTATAAGCAAAATGGATTTTTTTCCTACATTTGAAGTTTGAGAAAAATCTCTCTACTATATATATATATATATATATATATATATATATATATATATATACATAGTGGATAAGTCATAAGAAATCTAAAAAAATTTGGATGTTATTCGTTTGTTACACTTCCAAATCCCTAAATCCAAATATGTTTGTGATGAATAAATTAGTAGTGAAAAACTTATACCTTTTTTAAATGCTATATGATTTCAATCCCGCCAAAGACAAGAATGACATATTGCTTATCATGAAACTTTTATCGGCTAATTTTTTTGTAGTATTATTTTTAATTTAGTACATATATCGTATTATATTTCAGTAATGAAAACTATGGGAGGAACCCAACAACGATGCCAAACATAAGGTATAATAAAATCAAATCACTAACAAATAATTTTTTTTAGATTCATGCACCAAATCAATTCACTCAATAAAATTTGTTTTAGATTTTTGCACCAAATAAAATTACTAACAACAATTCAAGCAAATAACTCAAAAATGTTAAATCATACTTTTAAATTTCACACAACGTAACAAAATCAGATATAAAAACTAAATAATAATTTACTTCTTTACAAAGGTAGTTAAACTATAATCAAGCATCAATAAACTAGCAAATTAAAGTGATAAAGTAATTACCTTAGAATCATATGCTCAAAAGTTATATGTAATCCTTCTGCTCCTCTTGCAAATCCCTAAATCCAAGTATAGTTGTGGTGAATAAATATTTCAATGCTTTCTAATTTTTATCCCGCCTAAGATAAGAATTGAGAGAATGAGAAAAATACTTATTTTTATGAAAAACTAAAGTAATACATCTATAAAATAACTTTATATTTATCATATTATATATATCTTTATAATTGTATTATATGAACAATATGAGGAACTCCCAAGCACCAACGATGCAAAAATCAAATCAATCCCAAATATTTATTTGTAAAAATTTACATACCCAATATCAAGATCTAAAATTGAAATATATACATATATATATATACATATATATATATATATAATAAGAAATAATCACATACTTATATTCACTTTGTAAGTGCGGATGAGGTACGATAAATTGCTGAAAGTAAACGAGACAAGAAATTTGTTAACGAGGTTCGGTTTTTCCTACTCCCCGGGACCACGTCCAGATTTCGATTCCACTAGAACAAGAAAGCAAATACAACCTATTCGCAAACGCGTAAATCAAGCACAACCCTCTTGATTCACCGCTCCGTTCTATTCACTACAAGAAAACATGCCTTTTGCGACCCCCAATAGAGTCCTTAAACGGTCGCTAATTGCTGTGTTGCGACTTCTTTGCGACTGAACAAGTTGGTCGCTAAAAAACGGTCGCTAATTACAATGGTCGCACTGTCGCAAATAAGCGACTCCTTTAAGACTGTATCATTTAGTCGTAAATTAACGACGAAAACGTGACTGAATTTAGAATCGCATATATACGACTACGTTAGGACGAGTTGTGCGTCGGGGAATCATGACGAAAATGTGGTCGCAAATAAGTCACACTGGCCGTAGCAAAGTAGTCGCAAAGTAGTAGTAAACTTTACGACGCTTTTGTGACTGGTTAGTGACATTTTTGTAATTGGTTTGGTCACAAATTTGCGACTTCTTTGCCACCATTTTGAATTGATTCGGTCACAAAATAGTCACATTTTTGGAATTGGTTTGGTCACAAATTAGTCACGGTTTTGAAATACTAAATCTGATTAATTTTGGATTTTGAAATGATATTAATCGAAACAAATGATGATTTAAAGTACTAATCAAGCAAACTTATCATCCTTAACAAAAAGATCATCCTAAACAACCAACAAACAGTATTCAAAAGCAAGTTCGAACTCAGGAATTTTTTTTTTCATGAAGAGGAAAAGCTTCTTCATCTCAGCTTGAGACTCTCGGTGTTCCTGATCACGGCATGCATTCTCAGACTCGTGTTGATAAATCTTGCGCCGAAGTTGATCTTGAAGCTCCACAAGAGTTGCTGCAGAAGAGCTCGCATAACTCTCTTTCCATTCTTATGCCTTTTGTGTCTTGACCAAAATGCATCCTTATGTTATGAGTTTGACAGCAAATTCAGAATTTTGACGCTTACCTAGAGCATAAAACATAAACTGATGTTGATTAGAGCTTAAAACACCTACCAAAAAACAAACAAAAACTGATGTTGATCTATCTAACCCAAATTTCTTTTTTGAGAGGTGGATCAATTAATCAGACCTGGCGTTGCAGTTCAGTGGCTGCAAACATGTTCCTTGCACCCTGTAATGTGTCCACATCAGCACATTAGATTACATCTTTCTTAGGTTATAAAAAGATATGTTTTATACATTTATAATACCAAAATCTCACAGAAGAAAATTGCATGACTGTTTTCTTTGGTAATATACTCTTTGAAGTTGATACCTCAACCACCTATTATAAACCCAACACAGCAACGTAAGAACTAAAAGACTTGTATCCAAATATACAACGACCGAAAGTAGTCAAACTTAACTAAACAATAAAAGAACTAAAAAAGTTTGTTTTTTCTTAATGAGTCCTACTACTCCAGACAATCTAAAACTTCAATACAAGAAGATTCTCATGTCTTCACCATACCAATCAACAAGTTTAACTTTATTAAGTCAATCAAAGACTAAAGCAAGCAACATAAATCAAAGACTAAAGCAAGCAACATATCCAACAAAGTCTCAATCTACCAAAACTACAATCAATGAGAAACCTTACCAGACTTAACAGGAAAGAACAAGGACAAGAAAGAAACCTTATCGACGTAGGGCCACATGTACGAGAGAAAGAAATCTGTTAAACCAGTCCACCTTAATGTAAACAATAAAAAGAACAATCAGTTCAAATAATCGATGGTAGCTAGATCAAAAGTTCAATGCTTTAATTCAAAAAAAGGCTCGCAGATTAACAATCAACCACCGAAAAATCGAGTGAATCATTAAGTTACCCAGATGACCAAAACAAACAAAACAAACCTCAAACATGAAGAGTTAGATTAAGATGCGATAAGTGTGTTTGATTGATGTTTTAACTTGCTCATCAGCACAAACAGAGAATAGATTCGGCGGTTTCTGAACCGGCTCCCATGGTCATTCAAGCTTAGCCACCGGCGCTTTAAGCTCGGCGCGTTTCCGCATCTCACAAATCTGGCGTTCTCGGTATAATTTCGCCATGAGGAGTTTTTTCGGTTTCTTCGCTTGACCTCCCTCCTCGTCCTCGACTTGATTTTCCCATATTTGCCATAAAATAAGTTTCAATTGAGATAGAAGAGAGAAATTCGAAGAGAGAATAGAAGGAAATCGAAGAGGATTGAAGGAAGAGGAGAGAAAAGTAAGAGATCAGATGGGAAAAATACCTAAGTTTTGGATACAACTAAAGTGTCGATTGATTTTGGGTTTTGTCTAAAACCATCCTAAGTCTCAAACCCAAATTAAAAAAGCGGAAAAATTGCCTCTCAAAATCGAGCCAAAATTTTCATTCATTTTGAAAAGAAAACTAAAAATAGTCACAAATAAGTCGCAAAGTGGTCTTTTATGACATATTCTTAAGAATCATAATTTTATTTTCTTAAATTACAAAACTTAAGACCCAAAGAAAATCTATATGTTATAATCAATAAAATTACAATACAAAACAAAAACAAGATCAATTAGTCTAATGAGTTAAAACATGAAATGCAAAAAAATTTAAGAAATTTCAAAATCATTAGTAACATTACATATAACACTTGTGTAATGTTCAAAACCTTGTGCAAACCATAGAAAACTTAAAGTTTTTTGGCATAATAATGATTCAGTATCTATAGTAATTCAAATCAATATAGAAACCTTAAAACTTAACATGAAATTCAATGAATTTAGGACATTTCAAAAGTATTAGTTGACATTACATATACCATGATGTAATGTTATGAAAGTTTCTATAAATCATATAAAACTTAAGCTATTAGAATGATTCAATACCTACAATAGTTCAAATTAATATAGAAACCTTGAAACTTAACATATTGAGAAATCTCTATTGGTAAATCTCAAAATAAAATCGCGAGCGTCGCTAAACGGTTACAAAATCGTCTCAAATTCAGGTGTTAGTCGCAAATAAGTAGCATATATGTGGGTAAATTAAGACTTATTTGTAACTCTCATAAGTTTCCGTCGCAAATTAGTTACCGTTTTGTGACGATTTTCTTAAGGGTCACAAACCTATTCTTATGAATTTGAAAGTTTTAGAACCAAAGAAAATCAATTTATAGTGTTAGAACCAATAATATCACAATACACAACAAGATCAATCATTTATATTAGAGAAAACATGAAATTCAATGAATTTAGGACATTTCAAAAGTATTAGTAAACATTACTTATATGATTATGTAATGTTTTAGATATTTGAGATCACATTAGAAAACATGAAGTTTTGTATGGCATACGATGTATTCACTGTCTATAATTGTTAAGATCATACTAAACACATCTAATATTACGAGAATTCAAAATCTAACATGGTAAATGTTTATCTAAATATCGGGAGTCGCTAATTAATAGGTGAGAAAAGAGTCCCAGTCTCAGGTGTTAGTCGCTAAATAGTCACTAGAGCGTTGGTAATATGAGACTAATTTGTGACTACACTAAAACGCGAGTCGCAAAGAGTGACGGAATTGTGACTATATTTCAAGAGTCACAAACTATTTGTCAAGGATTTTGTAGCTTAAGAGGCAAATAAATTGATCTTAAGTGTTGAGAATAAATGAAATTACGATTATAGAACAAGATTGATCAATTAAATGAGTAAAACCATGAAATCCATTTGAGTTATGATCTTTGAAAAGCTTTAGTAAACATTACTTATATGATTATGTAATGTTTTAGATATTTGAGATCACATTAGAAAACATGAAGTTTTAATTGTATGGCATACGATGTATTCACTGTCTATAATTGTTAAGATCATACTAAACACATCTAATATTACGAGAATTCAAAATCTAACATGGTAAATGTTTATCTAAATATCGGGAGTCGCTAATAGGTGAGAAAAAAGTTCCAGTCTCAGGTGTTAGTCGCTAAATAGTCACTAGATCTTTGCGACGGATTTGTGACGACACAAAAAAAAGTAACAAATAAGTCCTATATTGTGACCCTTTAGCGATGATGTTTTGTAACCCCGTTCTTTCCGTCCCAAATTAGTCGCAAACTAGGACCTTTTTGGACCGGTCTTAAAATCGTAGCAAAATGGTCGGTAATTGGCGACTAAGCAGAGACTAATCGTTGGCGTCGTAAATTGGCGACAAATATGCGTCTACTTTTAACGTAGTCGTTAAAGAGTCACTATATGGTAACAATATCGTCGTAAATATTTGCGACCAACAAAAGAGTCACAAAAAGTAGTCGCAAAAGGCTTGTTTTCCTGTAGTGATTAACATGAAATCTTAAGGATAAATCTCTACCCTTAACTAAACTCTCATGAGCCTAGATTTAATCAGGATAACCTAACCCTGAGCTAAACACCCCCTGAGTCTAGACTTCAATTCTCCTAGTCTTTGGAACAACCACCACACACGAACCGTCGCGCCAACGAACCCAACGATCACCAAGATTCTCCAATATGAACCGTCAACACCAACACACAAATAAGCTTGATCACACAAGCACTTAACCCGCGAAACTACGTCGCACACGATCACACACACAATCTCTCACATCGAATCTCTTTGGGATTTTTACTCTTGCTAATGCACATTCTCATAAGGTCACGTCCCCCTTATATAATAAACAGAAACTTGCACCTCAAGTTCTTCCAATCACACATAAGAGAAAGTTTCTTAATCTCATAAGGAAAAGATTTTCCTTTTTGCCAATTTCCTTTTCACTTCAAGCAAACTTCCTATTTGCTTACATGATTCCTTTCGTCTTCAAACAAAGATATTTTCCTTTTCCTTGACTTACCAAACGCTCCAACATCCAAGTACTCGAGCTCCTAATCAGCAACTATGCTTCTCATCTTCTTAAATCACTTCTTGTACTACTTCCTGTACTACTTCGACGACTAGTACAGAACACCAAAATAACTGCATCTTCACACTTGACAATTTGTTCACAGATCTAGTGAGATTGGTTTTCCTCGCCTCTTCCTCTTAATTATTATGGATTCGAGAATGAGAAGGAAAAAATACACTTACTCATGGATCTTAGTTAGTAGGATTTTAAAAAATACTGCATTTAACATGTTGAGATCATATATAAAACAAAAAACAAAATAAAATTAGTCAACAAATAACATAACTCTTCCTTTGGAAGTAAATACAGAAAATGATTCTTAGTCAACAAATATTTCTTACTTAAAATGAAAAGGTAATAAAAATAAATAATAAAATATAGTATTAACAAAATTAAATTAAATATATATCAACTTTAACTTTCTTAGAAAAAAAATAAATGATGACATGATTTCAGTAGTCAAGATAAAATGTGAAAAATTAAAATATTTTTTAATTAACAAATTCTAAGAATTTTTGTTTTTTATAATATTAAAAAAGAGTTCAAAAATAATTTAATCTAAAGGAAATGAAATATAAAAATAATAAAAATAAAAAATAATTACATAACCCAGTAGAAAGAGACAATTATGTCAAATTAAGATTTAATTTCAATTATTTTTAAAAATATTAGAATGTATATAGTCATAAAAATCTAAAAAGTAAGTATAAGGAGATACAATTTCATAAATATAGAAACGTAATTTTAAATATATTAAATTTTATAAAAATTAATTCTCTTCCAATTTAACTCTTTTAGAAAAGAAAAAAGATTTCATTAGTTAGTCAAGAAAACAATAAAGTATATCTGGAAATAAATCTTTCAAATTTAAAGTTTTGAAATTTCATATAGTTAAAAATAAATTTAATATTGACATTTGTTACTTTCTGAAAACTTTCCAACGCAATAATATTGACAGTTATTTGGTCTTCAATTGTCGGTATAAACCAAGAGTACCGATATGGTAAGGTCAGATCTTGGCTTATCTTTTAACAAAGTTCGCTGTACCAAGAGAGTTTTTGGTTTTAGCCTTTTAAGTCTTCGTCAAATATAATTCAATTATTTCATTTTCTCCATCTTCAAGGATATCTTTCTATGTATTAATTCAACTTGGATCTAGGGAACATGTTTATAATTCATGAGGAGAAAATTTAGGAATAAAGTAAAATAGCAACCCAACAAATTGTATGGATTTCTGATTTTCTAGTTATGATTATCTGTAACAACATCAAATGCCAAATAATCGATTTTACTTATATATGTGATACTTTTGCTACATTATAATATTTTCATACTCTGCATGTAACTCGCTTTACACTATTTGTGATACTCTTGAAGAGTTTTTCATATAAACCATAGATGCTATATTTTAGCTTCTTCATTCCTTGAAAGAGTTGTATAAATTCTGAAACCAAAAGATAGTCTATAATTTATACACTAGTTTTAAGTATAATTTGATCGTTAAGACAGTAGTTTCTTACCCAGAATAAAACGTAACTGAAAGTAGCTAATAAACAATACAGATCTAGGTATTATCTAATTCTAACAAAATTTGGAAAGAACAAAACCAAAATCAATAGCTTTATCCTTGAAAAAATTAAATATATAAGTAAAATCATGTTTATAAATTATCCATGATCAAACTTTAAATTATAATTCTTAACAAAGTTATCTGGTTCAGAAGTTAGTTTGTATCCAAGCCGGTATACCGCGTAGGGGTGTAGTCGCACCTGTTGTGGAACACCTAACTTCAGAGTGTAAATGTATGAGTCAACTGAGATCGATCGATCAAAACAAGATAGGTCATAAATAAAAATATTTTTTGATTCCGTTACTAAAAACTGACAAAAATCCTTCATCCAATCATTTAGCAAAACTTTTGATCCGACCGTAAATTTGAAGAAGAAGATTAAACGTTCTATCATGAGAATCTGGAACCAGTGAGAGGTCGAGTTGAATCCAGCATGGGATCCCATGTATATACTTTAGCAACCTATAGTACTTTGGGAAAAACTTTACTGCTTCAGCAAAGAAATAAGAAGTCACTAACCGTTTTTTCTGGACTTATATTAGTATGTTTGAGAGATTTCACATCGTCAACCTGAAATTTGAGTTGGTTGAACATACAAGAATCACAGGACAAACAAGAAGCTGCATGAGGATCTCTAAAGATATAATATATTATGTTAAATGTATGATTAAACCACAAATAAAACTCAACTAAGCACATGTTTGGTTTTTTATCCTTGGATGATATGGTGGCCTATTCTCTTAAGAGCGTGGGAACCTATGTGTGGACATGCAAAACCTATGATGGTGATGTCCAAAATGATTTCTTGGCACAAGGTTTGTGTTTTAGTGAATGAATTTCTCCATAAATGTGTATGTATGTCATACACATTATGTTGTTGGATTCACA